GGTGAATTGTATTTATATATCTGTTGGATAATTGCATATGTGTAACTAGAATGTATATGTATCAATGAATACAATTGTATCTGTGAATACAAATTGTATCAATGTTGTATCAAGTTCAAGTGTATCAACGAAATACAACTGTATCAATATTGTATTTCGTGACAAATTGCATATGTATTCATGTGTATTTTATGCATTTGTTGCCATGTGTGTTTGTATTTTGTATCACTCAAAGAGGGTATTCATTTGTTGCCATGTGTATTTGTATTTGTTGTCTTGTGTGTATTTGTATTTTGTATCAATGGAAAGAATTTATATAGTAGACAATTATCATTTGTATTTGTATCATTGATACTATTTATATTTGTATTAAGAGATAAAGGTGGGGTGAGAGGGAGAGAGAGGCAGAGATAGGTGAGTGAGAGAAGGGGCAGAGAAAGGATAGGGAGAGAGGCGAGCAAGTGTGGAGAGAGAGAGGAGAGGGAGAGAAAAACTTGCTATAAAATCCTAATTATAGCTACGAATTGTAATTCTTTTAAACTATAGTGGTGTATAGTAAATACATATCACATGTTTACTTACTACATAATTTTTCCATTTTATAGAATATATAACAAGTAGTTTAGACTTCATTTGTTTTTATTAAAATTAACTTATTTTAAGTGTTAGAATTAGTGTATTTTAAGTTATTTTAAGCTAAAATAATTTTTAAGCACTTTTGGAATATCTGAGTAAGTTTAAAAAGTGTGTGTAAGCACTTAGTTTTAAGTTAAAAAGATAAAAATAAGTCAAATGAAAAGTCAATCCAATTTAGATTGCACCAATCATGAAGGACAAGATCAAACCTCAAAGCTCCACAAATGTCAACCTTTATTCTCAGAACTTTTCTTCTCGGTTCAACATGATAAAGCTTTGACACAAGTAAACACTTAAGTAATTTCCACACCCCCTAGCCAGATTCAATCCCAAGGGTCAATCAAGCCTTTGAAACTAGTGAAAATAGTCATCACAGTCTGAGTTCCTGCTTTCAACGAGACTTTCTTAGCTTGTCAAACTTTCTCTCCTTCACCAGGAAAGTTATCTGATCCGGTAAGCAAGATCTTTGATTGATGTGCCTGAATAATGTGGCTCTAAGACGTTTGAATCTGAATGTACATCTGAATCTTAAGATATGCATTAAAATTTAGAGGTTTGAATTTGAAAACACATCTAAATATTAAGATGTAGAATTCAAATCTGATTACAAAATAGTTAAGACGATTTGTTTTCTCATAATAAATTTTTTTGTCTTTGTTTAAAAAATAATAAATATAAAATTCAAATAAAATACTAAATTGATGTAATATTATATCAATAAAATATTTTTAAAATGTATCTGACAATTGATGGAGATGATGATTAACGATGGTGATTATGTGTGTCAATTTAGAATGGTATTAACCGGTAATGATAATTGTGGATAATATCTTATAGTATAGTATAGTATAATAGAAACGACGACTTTAGCATATTCACTTGATCTGATAAATTTGACAAGCTTACACATACATAGTCTAGTATTTCTGCTCTAAAAAATGATGAAACACAGCTTACAAATAAAAGAAAAAAATTACTCAAAAAGGAATAGCTAGGTCAGATAAAAATAGTTTATGTAAGAAATAGGACAAGGATTAGGCATAATCTAGTTTGATCATTTTTTGTCCTAGAAATATTGATGAATCACAACTTACCAATGATATATAACTTGTGTAGATCCTAGTTAATCTAGTCACTAATCTCTTGCTTATCACAACCATAGCCATGTGTTTATATTTATTTTTTAAAAAGTTATACTAATGTACTCTGAAATTGACAAATTTTAATATTTTATTATACATGAAAGAGGAAGGAAGTAGAAGGTGATTAAATACCAATGGTTGCGATGAGATGATGTGGGATCACTCCTCCTGTAACTAGTCTCTCGAATTTTAAAAAAAAAATCATGTTAAAAGCATTATTTTAAATAAGCCTTGTAATACGTAAATTTATGTTTAATTACGTCTCAATATTTAATATCAAAAAAGAATATTGCAGGTGAGGTAATTAAGAAAAAAAAGGGGGAAATCAGAAGCACAGAACAAAGGATGTCCTTGTGCAAATTTGGATCAACAGCTGGATTCCATCTAATTGGAATCTTTAATTCTTCCTGAATCAAATTCTTATTGGAGCACTCTCGATAGATTTTATCTATGTGTGTATGGAAGTAAGTAAATTGCTTCCTATGAGAACTGGACTTATTTTTAAAAACACTCATAAAATTAGGATAGCACAATGTTGTAATGTGCCGACTTTTAAAGCTCATGTCAACACTTTGATTATTATGTGTGAGCAGTGATATTTTATTTCCCTTAAGCAGTTATAGTTTAAGTTTGAGATCACTAAAACTTTAAAGTAAAAGTTATTATTTTACTAAGTGAAGGTTCAATGCAGAGCATATCGTTGTTATGCATAGTAATTTTTCTTTAACTGTTATATAAACTCTCTTATATAATATTAAAATGAGTGGAGGATTGTTGGTTTATTAGCATTTTAATATTCTTCTTCTTTTTGTAAATGGATTAATGAATGTCCATTATACCCTTCTTATGCCTATAAAAGGTATTGTAACTTGTATGGAAAAACACACAAAATAAGAAAGATACAAAGTTTCCTATTTTATCTCTCTACTACATTCTTCTCTTCTTGGTTGTTATTAGTTTAATTTTAGTACTTAGTCTTTATTTTATAACACTTCTGTAATATTAATTTGCTTATTTTGGAGTACAAAGGTGCTGCACCTCCCATCTTTTAGTTGCTGTTATTTTCAGCTGTTGGTAGGCAATTGAGTGTGAGTTACTCCTTATGCGTTGTATTATCTTTGTGCAACAGTTTCTATTTTTGTTGGTGGCATTATGTGCCTAATAACATTTATTAGGCTTGTAAATATAGTACTGTCAAGACAATAAATATGACTTGTATATTCCCAGTTATGAAGATTAAAAATTATGATGAAATAAATGTTATTACACAATAATTCAACCAATTTTTGCATAGGTTGTTATCTCGTGAGTTGTTTAAATTATCAAGTAAAACGAGTAGGAATGTACAAAGTGTTAAGAGTATCATATTCATGTTTTAAAAGATAAATTCCACACTCATTTCAAATTATGGGATTAATAAAAATTCTGATGATGCATGTTATGATCCCCTATTATGGATCTAGTTATGGGACGCTGCAAGATAAAATCTGAAGTTTTCTTCCTACACCCTATTGTGTTGGTTCGTTAAGAGAGAACCTGCAATCTCTTGAGTTATAAAGTACTCAAAAACTGAAATTACTTTTCTGCCCCTATTTTCTGAGACACAAATAATTTAAATACAACACTTATAAAATAACTATCCCTAGAAACTAGGACATGACTTCCTAACTTAACTGGAATAAAAAACTGCACTATTACACGAACATAACTGCACTATTACAGAAAAATAACTACTGCTATAACTATTGGATAACTAAGGAGTGATAACAATGCATCTCCTGTGAAGGATACTTCTGGACACAACACAGTACACACTATTATTTAACAAAATTTAGTTAAGTAATTTTGAAAGATAAACATTTTAAATTTAGTGATTTTATTGATATAAAACAAAGTTACTTAATTGGGCTAATCCATCGGTGGCCACCTAAACTTGGCACCAACTTTCACTTAGGCACCTCAAGTGGGCGATGTTCATTTTAGACACCTCATGTAGGGTCTCGTTGTGTCATTTTGACACTTTTTATATTTTCAAAACCGCATTTTAAGTGCGTACATCCAGACGCCTCTTATGTGGAAAAATAAACGAATTGGTATGTGACACGTGGAAATTTTATTTTATTTTTAAAAATCTCAATTTTACTTTCTTTTTTTCTTTCTTCCAGATCCCAAACCCCATGCCCCCACCTCTTTTCTTCTTCTTCTTGCGCTTCCTTCCCCTTCATTTGTTCTTCTCCATAAAAAAGGCAAGAACATAGGTTAGTTTACAAAGTAAAATACGTTTTGGAGAATAAAGGAAATCATACCAAATCGAAAAGTTTTTATATGACATTTAAAAGAAGATGATTTCTTGTGTTACTACGATTGGGATTTACAATGAAGGATATATAAAATAAATTTCTTTTTTTTTCATTGGAGGTTGTTCTTTATTTCTTTTTTATTCCTTGAAATCAATTTAATTTTCAATGGAGAAGGTAAAAATGTAAATCAGTTTGTCCATTTGAAAGAAGTTGATTTCTTTTTTTGTTCCCTTCAAATCGATTTTGTTTTTGAATATGAATCAAGATGCAAATTCGATTTTCAAAGAAGATGGAAGAATCAAAGAGTTTAAAAAAGTTGTGTGGTGATGGAGGATGGTAGAAGGTGGGGAAGATGGAAGGGAGAAAGCAAGGAAGAAGAAGGAGAAGAAAATATTTACAAAAAAATTCAGAATATTTACAAAAAAAGTCTCTGACGCGCTCAAAATTCGTGTAGCACACGTACTGTGCTTAGTCAGCAAAAAGTGTCAAAATGACACAACGAAACGCAACATGATGTGTTTAAAAGGAAAATCCTTCAGTTGAGATGTCTAAGTGAAAGATTGTGCCAAGTTTAGGGGGCCACCGATGGGTTAGCCCGCGCTCAAAATTCGTGTAGCACACGTACTGTGCTTAGTCAGCAAAAAGTGTCAAAATGACACAGCGAGACCCTACATGAGGTGTCTAAAATGAACATTGCCCACTTGAGGTACCTAAGTGAAACATGGTGCCAAGTTTAGAGGGCCACCGATGGGTTAGCCCTTACTTAATTCAATCAATTCTTATAGTTAATTGATCTTTTGAAATATTAACCGGCAGACAGAACACACAATCTGCTATCTAACAAACAGAAACAAATTAGAAGCTAGTTTATTCATATGAAGTAGTGCTAATAACACTAGTTCATTCATATGTTATCTCTTTATCAAGCATGCTGATTCTTCTCACAAATCTGTTTTAACACCTTAACAACTCCATCCATCTCTTCCTCTCTTAGCAATTTTATATTTTCGCGAAGACCTTTCACCTTCCTCCTCAAATCCTCCCCAGTATTTTTTTCACCAAAAAACACATTTTTGATAGTCTCAGCTACATTACCTCTATGAATCTTCCCATTTCCATCTCTAGCCATCTCAACAGCTACACCATTTTCCACAATCAATCTAGCATTCAGAGGCTGATCAGAGTAAAAGTTCATAGGCAAAGCTATGATTGGGACACCAAACTCTATGCATTCAAGAGTCGAATTCCAACCACAGTGAGTTAAAAATGCGCCAATACTTGGATGCTTTAGAATTGTTGTCTGAGGAGCCCAACATTCAATTATCCTTCCCTTTTCTCCGATATTTCTTTGAAGAAAACCTTGAGGAAGTACGTCTTCAAGGCTTACGACTTGTTCTTCTTTTGGAAACCTTACAACCCATATGAAATGAACATTGCTAAGCTCTAATCCATAAGCTACCTCTTCCATTTCTTCCTTTGTTAAGAAATTCTCACTCCCAAATGAAACATACACAGTTGAATTCTCCTTTTTATTCCCAAGCCATTTAATTATTTCCATCTGTTCTTCATTGATCGCGATATCTTGAATAACTACTCCAGTAGGTAAGATCTCTGTTTTTCCAATTTCCGAAAGATAATCCATGTACTTTCCATCTATTGCTCTAGAGCTATTCACCAGCATGATTGCTCTGTTTTCGCCTAATTCTTCCTTCACTTCAACGTCATAGGGACGCGTTATCTCTCGCTCATAATCCTTGAGATAGAGCGCGGGGAAAGGAAATTCCACCCCTGGTTTAAGAAAAAAATGACCAAAATAACAACACATAGTTATACTTGTAAGGCAAAATTTAATTGATGGGATATTGAGACTAGATGCAACCCCTGCTGCCCATGGTTGCATTACATCATGTACTAAAACATTCGGTTTTTGATCTTTAAGGATTTCGTAAAATTGTGGTTTTGACATTGTGATGGCTTTGTAAAGAGTAGATTGAAGATGGATAGGGAGGCCATTTGTTGTGTGGTAATGAGGAGGAAGTTCAGGCAAGTTTGGCAAATGAAATTCCACTAGATGAATTGAACAAGAGTACTTTTGTGTAATCTTTTTCTTGATCAAACTAAGATTAATGGGAGTTGAACACAAATCAATAGAAAAGCCTCTATCTGAGAGTTTTTTGGCTAACTCAAAGAAAGGTGTGATATGGCCATAAGCTAAGTATGGGAACATTAGAACTCTCACATTTGTTTTGTGTTCTACAGCCATGACTTTTCTATGTGTGTTTGTGTAATTGGTTCTCGATCTTTATAGGCTTTATTAAAGGGATGTTGGTGTGTGCGCTTTGCATGTTTTAAAACATAGCAATTGAGCGTTTGTTAGTTGTTACCCTCAATTTTCTCTCTTTTCTTCTAATTCATTTCCTCGAGCTTCTAAGTTATTAATAAGTCAAATATTTATATTTTCTTACTATTTTCATTTATTAATATTGTCAGAGGCGGATCCAAATGATTTGATAGGGGTGCACGTGCATCAGTTGACTTCGGAAAAAATCATGTGTATATATATATATCTATCTTGAGAAACTGATAGAAAGTAGGATATAATTAACAGTGCACCCATAAAGAGCATAGGAGAACCCTTGTGCCGCTGAGACAAGCTAGAGGAACTACCTACGAGACTAGGGTTTGAATCCAGCTAGTGCCCTATTTTACTATTTTTATTTTAAGTTTAGCTTAGAGCTCATATTTGAGCCATTAGTGCCTGTGCACCCGAAGTTTTCAAATTCTGAGTCGTCTCTGACTATTGTTACCGTAATATTAACCCTAATTAGACATTACTTTCATTATTATCCTTTCTAATTATTGTGAAATCTTTATCTTGATCAAACTAAGATTAATAGGAGTTGAACACAAATCAACGGAAAGGCCTCTATCTGACAGTTTCTAATTGGCTACCTCAAAGAAAGGTGTGATATGGCCATAAGCTAAGTATGGGAACATTAGGACTCTCACTTTTGTTTTATGATCAACACTCAACAGCCATGACTTGTGTGTGTGTTAAAAGTGATAGTGTAATTGGCTCTCTTTATATAGAATTTATTAAAGGGGAGCTGGTGCCCATTTCATGTACGTTCATGCAGAGTTTAAGAGAAGGATCACATGAACAGTTTATCACGAAACTAGAAATTTTATTAAGTGTGTTCAAAATTTTGACAAAGATGTTCAAATGACCACTCTTGAATCAACATAGTTACGCCACTAATTTACCTTGGTGCATTAGCAATGACATATTTAAGATTTTTTTCACGAAGTATATTATACATGTTTTGCATGTGTGTATTATGGCAATTAATAAAACTAACTACACGAAGAAGAAAATTATTAAACATAGCAATTGACGTTTGTTAATTCCCAATTTTATCTATTCTTTCTTCTAATTCATTTCCTCAAGCTTCTAAATTATTAATAAATTGAATACTTTATACTCACTACTATTTTTGTTTATTACTATTATTATTACCGCAATTATCTATTATATAATATTATTACTATTACCCTAAACTTTATTATTTTTATAATTATCATTCCCTTCTTTTATTATCATTTTTACTATTTTAAAATTATATTTTTTATTATCAACATAGCTATTATTACTTTGTTATCGTCTTCTTTAAAATTGTTTGCCATTACTTTATTTCAAGTTTCTTAATTACTTTGTTTCAAGTTTCTTAATTACTATTTTTTTACATTAATTTTCATTACATAATATGTATTTGTTAATTATAAAATTAGAATGCTAAAGAAATTTGAAGGAAAGGGGGGGGGGGTGATGGAAAACTTTAAAAAATGATTATAGTTTAATTTGGACTTAAATAGAGATCTATAGTTACAATTTGCTTAATTATGAATTATAGCTACATGTTGGGGGGGGGGGGGGAGGGGTGAGAGAGGTTGAATGCAAGTTGTATTTGTTGTATCAGGAATGCAATTGATACAACTGCTTTGTGTCAAAATAAATGCAATTGATACAACTAATTTGTATCAAAATAAATACAATTGATACAACTGATTTGTATCAAAATGAATACAATTGTATTCATTTTAGGAGGAGAGGCGATCTCGAGAGAGAGAGAGAGAAGAGAGGATGAATATATATTGTATTTGTTGTACAACGAATGCAATTGATATAGGATACAAATACAATTGATACAAAAATACAAATATAATTATCCGAATACAATTGATTTGTATCATATATCGAATATAATTGTATCAATTGTATTAACGAACACAATTTGTGTCGACACGAATACAATTGGTAGAATATAAAATGACATAATACAATTGATACAAAATACGTATACAATTGATACATATACAAAATACAATTGATATGGAATAAAAATACATTTAATGCATAATACATAATATAATTGTCATATATATGTGAAATATTTTTTGGGCTGCAACTATTTGGACCGGAGAGAGAGGCAAGGAGAGAGGGATAGAGGAGAGAGAAATTTGCTATAAAACCCTACATATAGCTACAAATTATAATTTTTTAAACTATAGTGATTTATCATAAATACATATCACATGTTCATCTTATTGTATCATTTTTAGAAAAAATTACCTAAATACACAACTTATTTTATCATGTTTTCTAAAATTTCCTACCATTTGAAAAAATTACAAAAATCCCTACTCGATCATATTCTTAGATACATCATTTTTACGCGATGTATCGATCATATACATCATTTCACGCAATGTATCGAGACGTACGTGATGTATCGAGACATTAAGTGATGTATCCAAAACCCAAACACGATAAATCAAGACGTTGAACGATGTATCCAAATCGAGGCGCGATGTATCAGAACATTTTTGAATGTATCCGAATTCCACCAAATTTAAGGAATATTTATAATTTGAAAAAAAAAAAAAAAAAATGTAACTAACTGTTAACATTATGAAATTGTGTAAAATTCTGATAATTTTTCCATCCAAATTAAGCCCAATTCACATTAGGTTTTGTCTCTACCTCTCTCCTCAACAACCGTACTTCACCGGTTCACGCATTTCTTCCCTTTTCCACTTTTGATTTAAACAAAAATCACACTTCTTTCCAAGAATAGTCATTTTAACATTCAAAAAACAATAATAGCTGCTCAAAATCTTCCTTATTTCAAGATACGATCTTTTTTAAATTCGAAAAATCCGACAAATCTGACATTTGCAACAAACTATATTTGATTAGGAAAGTTCAAAATCGAATTACTAAATAAAACACGTTTTCGTTCATTCCGAAAAAGTGCACAAATTATGTAATCTTTTAAGCAAAATGTACAAATAGTTAAAAGAAAAAAAATATGTTAATGGACTATTTTATCCCATAACAAATAGGCAGGCATGTTGACGTCTTGCCTGATTCACCTAGTAAACTTCCTTGTAATGAGAAAAATATAATCACTCTAAAATACCTGAAAATATATTATTATTATATATTTTATTTTTAAAAAAATCAAATAAATCGATAAAATAAAAAATACGAACAAGTTTAGAAATACTTTCGACTTAAGTCTATCCACTTGATCCGAGAAATTCGACAAGCTTATACATTTTTATTATTATGATAAGAGTTAAGTGTCAATAGCACATCTAAAAAAGATTTTTTTTTTTTTTAGTTTCATACTTAAATCATTGGAAATGTTAGAAATACACCTACAGTTCACTCATTAATTTGAGAAACACACCTCAACGCTGATTGGATCAAATATGTGTATACATATACACACATACGCAGGCGCATCTAGCACAATTTTTTCGTCCAAGTGCCCTTTTTTAATACTGATAACTTTTTATTTATTATTGAGTTAAGTGTCAAAAACACATCTTACCTATCCAATTTTTTTTTAGTTTCATTCCTAAACTATTGAGAGTGTGAGAAACACATATATAAACTATCACTCATTAGTTTGAGAAACACACCTCAATGCTGAAATTATTTTTCACGTGGCAGTCCATGTGACAATTTTTTATTTATAAAAAAAGAGAGTATACACACCATCACACATTATGAGGTGTATTTCTCAAACTTATGAACATAATTTTAGGTGCATTTCTCACACTCCAAATAATTTACGTATGAAACTAAAATAAAAAGAAAATATTTTTAAAGTGTTTTTTATACTTCACTCTTATAATAACAGAAAATATATTACTCAAAAGTAGGGGTGACAATTGACCGTGTTGGATCAAATTTGAACGAGTCATAATGTGTTAAGACAATAATCGGGTCAAGACCCAACCCAACCCAAATTTGCTTGGGTCAAAACGAGTTGGGTCAAAATGGGTTAGATAATGTGTTACATTACGGGTCAAGACCCAACCCAACTTTTACGAAGCTTAATTATTTTATTTGTTCTTTTAAATTATTTTAGTACCTAATAATTTTTTTTCTCTTTATTATGGCTATACACAACATATCAAATTGAAAAAAAGAATTTAAAATATTTTAACAAGATTTTTCATCAGCCAATTCGAGTTACATATCAACCTAATTTTTAATGAATTGAGCTAATGAATCAACAAGTTATTAGCCCATCTAATCTTAAACGGATTGAAAAAGTTGAACCAATTAAGTTTGATTTTGCCACCCCGCTCAAAAGTCAAAACGAAGAGCTACGTAAGCTAAAACAGATTAGGTAAGAAGAAATACGACAAGGAATATAAGCATCGTCTATGATGATCATTTTTTGTCCTAAAAATTGATGTTTCACAACTTACCAATGAAATTACTTGCGTAGATCTTTGTTAATCTAGTCACTAATCTCTTGCTTGTCACAACCATAGCCAAGTGTTTATATTAAAAAACTTATACTAATGTACTCCCTGCTGTCAATTGAAATTGACAGTTTTCATCATTAGGAAGGGAAGTGGATTAACGAGTTTACGCTTAATGAAAGTCTTAATTTTAATTATTCAGATCTCAGTCATTAAGTATATTTGTTTTCAATATTTTAAATTTTAATTATTCAAATCTTAATCGTTAAATGTGTTTGTTTTCTAATTTTGTAATCAAGTCTGAATAATTAAGGTCTATAACCAAGCCTTTATCATAGGATCTGTACACCCATGCGGAATCACTACTCCCTTAATTATATTTTTTTGAATTAGAAAATTCATGTTAGAAGTTTCACTCCGTAAATAAATCAAGATCTCAATAAAAGTAATATTGAGAAAAAAAATGCTGCAAATTTGAAAAAACAGCTGGATTGCATCTAACATTGGAATCTTTCATTCTTTCTGAATCAAATTATTGTGTACTAATGAACCTGTAATACAACCTAAATTATTGTCTCTATTAAGGGGGATGCAATAAATAAATAATTAAGTTAGCTACATATGCTCTAACTTAATACAACAATTTGGTAAAATATGACATTAAAAATTTAAAAAGAGTAAAAACATGATGTCACTTTGAACTAGATTAAATTTGCCACAGCTTTCTCTCATCTAATCATTCAAAATAAATAATAGGACCCACTTCATTAATCTATATATAAATTAGTGGTTATGGTTAATGCAATGTGAATACAAGTACTACTTCTAAAAATTACTGATATATAAAATAATAGTCAAGTGATTTTTAAAATTTAGTTTAGAGGGACTGTTTCTGAAAATGATTCAAAGATTAAAATCATGAATGTAAATTGTTTCAACATTTAGGGGTCGTTTGGTAGCTGGATAGAGTTATGCAGGTATTAGTAATGCGGGTATTAGTTATGTAAGTATTAGTTATGCATGGTTCAGTTATACATGTATTAGTTACAAAGTTTAGTTATACATGTATTGGTTATGTAGGTATTAATTATGCAGAGTTTAGTTATGTAGAGATTGCAATATATTAGTGAGTCAATTTTTATTTCTTAATTTCAGATCTTATTAGTGAGCTAATGTTTATTATAACCATTAAAATAACCAACTATAACACAGTAAAATTAAATAAATACCAATAACTAAAAATAACAAAGTAAATAACAAATAACTAAAAATAATAAGTAATTTGTATTTAATATGATTATGGAAAATGCATAAGTACCCCCAACCTATGCCCGAAATCCCAGAGACACACTTATACTATACTAAGGTCCTATTACCCCCGAACTTATTTTATAAATAACTTTCTACCCCTTTTCCCTACATGGCACTATCAACCAGATAGCTTGAAAAAATTGTCAACATGCGTTGGGCCCAGAAGATAGTGCCACGTAGGCCGAAAAGGGGTAGAAAATTATTTATAAAATAAGTTCGGGGGGGGGGGGTAATAGGACCTTAGTATATTATAAGTGTGTCTATGAGATTTCAGGCATAGATTGGGGGTACTTAAACATTTTCCCATATGATTAAGTAATTAAGTAGTATGTAATTTAAATTAAACTAAATAATAGATAACTAAAAACTTTAAAACTTGTATTTTTAAGAAAAAGAATTAAAATTTGTATTTTTAACTAAAATGAAGCAAATAAACTAAGCAATTATCAAGACAAAAAACTCAAAGAAAAAAAAATGATGGTGCTTTTTTCGATATGTATTTATTATTTGATTTGTGGTAAATTAATATATATTTAAGAGTAAATTAATAGGGGTGAATGTGTAATTTACCATGTCAATACATGTATAAGTATAATTAATACCCACATAACTTATTTCACCTTTTATTCCACATAAATTATACGTTACATAGATTCCCTCATAAGTTATACAAGTATTAATTATACATGATTACAAAAAACGCAACCAAACACCATATAAAAACAATACATGAATAATTTTTATACAACATTTGAAAATATGTCAACCAAATGTTATATAAAATTAATACATATAATTTTTATCCAATTTGCAAATCAAACATAGTATAAAATTAATATATGAATAACCAAATTATTCATGTATTAGCTTTGACAATATCTAGCTATCAAACAACCCCTTATAGCTTTACAAAATCAGAACATTATTCAAACACTTTTTTTTAAACCTGTTTTAGTTTTAGTTTTTAATTATAAAAAAAACTCTGTCAAGTATATGGTAGGTATCACAATAAAAAAAGAAATATTGTAATATCACATATGGTGTTTGTACAAAATTAATGAGTGCAATACACATATCACTTCAGCAGGACTCTGGAACTAGATAGAATCGTGGGATTTATTCAGATCCATTCGAATCTCCTTTAGTCTTTTCGTTATTTATTTTTATTATATTTTAAATATATTTGATGAAAATTCTTAGTTCGACACTATTAAAATAAAATATATTTTTACTTTTGATACATGATTCTTGAAATTATATGGTTTTGATTCCATGCAAATAATAGTAGATGTAAAAATAAGTCCATGTTACAATAACTAAATGCTATAAGACCACCTAAAAATATGGTCGCACGAATGAAGCTGTTAGGTCTCAAATTTGAGCTCTAAATATGAAAAAAATCTTTTTTAGGTAGCGCTTTTCCGTATGAGCCCTATGTGGTGTGACTCTGGAATAGTCAAACTCCTGTACAAATACAAAATAGCCAGTGGAGAACAAAATTAGATATTAATATAAAATAATAATAATTGGAAAGCAGCCAGGTAGTTGTACTGGTACACAAAATTAAAAGATCCAACAATTTTTTTATTTTTTTTTTAACAATTGAATTTTGGAATTTACAGATCATTCGCAGATAATAGCAGTTTGTGAAGATAAGCAGCAGCAAAAAGGTTCAATCCTGAAGAAGAAGAAGAAGAAGAAAAGGGTGGATCTATTAACAACTTGTTAATGGACACACCCTACTTCTCATCTTAAGCATAAATCAAAAGGTATTATCAATTTTCAATTAGTTTGGATAATGAATTTTTGCTTAAAACCCTTTCAGTGCCACACAATTTTTTATTTTTTCTTTAACGTCGTTGTCAATGGAACTGTACGTATTTGAATAATATAATACCAATAATTGCATTTGCAACGTTTCGACCATATATTAAGAAGACGAAAACCATTGATTTTTACCCTAATCAATTTCATTTGTGGACTGTGGTGGTGTGCTCTCTTCGTCTTTACTATTTTCCTAATTGAATACTGATTTTTGATTCATTTTTTTAAAGCTTCAGGCTCATATATTGAGCAATTTCTGTTCTGGGTTTTTAATTTTTTGTTCGATTTCTAAGCTTTTTAGTTAATTTTCATATATTTTTTGGTAGGTTTTAAGTTTTGAGTGGTTAGAAGTGTGTAGATCAAGTTGATTCTGTTTTGGTGAATGCTTAATTATGTCTAGTGCTAATTGCTTTATTGATTTCTCTATGAAAAATGAAAAAAATAAGCTGATCTTTATCAATATCATTGATGGTAATTGGTATGAGTGTCATGTTTGTTTGGGAATCTAACTCTTACTAACAAAGTGAAAATTCAGGTAGCTAACTGAGCTACTAAGATTCCCCATCAGAAGAAAAGAATTGTTTTTTGTTCCTTAGTATATTGTTTTATTTTGGGAAAATGAACTAGTTTGGTATTCTTGGAGCTTATGTTTAATTCCTTGTGAAAGTAGTTTGAAGTATCTTATATCAGTATTGTTGTGAATTAGAATTTTATAATAATCACTGATAGTACTGTTTAAATTAACCAAGCTAGTTTGAGACTGAATATGTTGTTATTGCTGTCGACTATAATAATAATGGCTGATATTTGGTATTTGTCATGTGCAGATATTTTCTAAAGAAACCAATAAGTGAAAGCTTGTGTGTATCAAGTCGGTGAAGTTCTGAATCCTCGATCGCTGAGTTTCTGAATTCAAATATGACGATTGGAAGCCTAAAACAAGCAAAAGAGAAGAAATCACGAAAAAACAAACAAGCAGTGGTTGATGAGCAATCACCATTGTTGCCTACTAAGCATAAGGAAGATGCTGGATTTGATGAGTTCGATGGGGCTTCCTTTAGTGGGGCTGTATTTAATTTATCAACCACAATTGTTGGTGCAGGAATCATGGCCTTGCCTGCGACTATGAAGTCGTTAGGTCTTATTCCTGGGATTGCTATGATCGTCTTCATGGCTTTTCTGACAGAAACTTCAATTGAATTGTTGATTAGATTTAGCAGGACTTCTAAATCTGCTTCTTATGGAGGTCTTATGGGAGACACCTTTGGAAAGTATGGGAAGATGTTGCTCCAAATATGTATACTTGTAAACAACATAGGTGTTCTTGTTGTATACATGATTATAATTGGTAGGTGTAGATAAATAGCTGAACAGGACTTACATTTATTTATCAACTTTCATACTCTATTTAAGGCTGTTTCTTTCACCTTTTAATCCATAATAGTTATAGTAATCACTCTTCATATTGTCCACTTAAAGGTGACGTGCTCTCTGGAACAAAGTCAAGCGGAGTTCACCATGCTGGTGTCCTGGAAGGCTGGTTTGGGACTCACTGGTGGAATAGTCGGTTCTTTATTCTTCTTGTCACCACTCTTGGCATATTTGCACCATTGGCTTCCTTGAAGCGTATAGGTGAGTTCTATCCAGATGTATCTTACGTTCTCGAAAGTACACTTTAATTTCCTTCTCAAAAAAAAAAAAGTACACTTTAATTTTCAAATCCTTACCTTAAGTGCTATTTTTATTACTTGAATTTGAGAATTAATTAGTCAATTGGGTATATATGCCTAGTTACTGTTTGGCGAGTTCAATAGAATTCTATTTCTGGCTCCTTATAAACACAAGCCCAGATTAGCACTCACTCTTACATGTGGCTTGAATCCTGCACTTTTTCAAGAAATATGAAGACAAAAATTAAGGGTAGAATTCTGTTTTCAGTTCTTTAAATCAACTGACGAAGTTTTTGACAAGCATTAAGATTCGAGGTGTGTAATGTGATCTTGCAATGACATGCTTCAGTAATCATCTCTTTGCTCTCTCTCTCTCTCTATATATATATATATTTAACTTGATTGTGGATACGATCACATCAGATATTTTGACATCGATCTTTGAGTTGATGTGCAGGTTCCTATATCCTTTTATTTAGAGCAATCCATCAGTAGTCTTATTATCAATAGTATTGTCTTCCTGAATTTAACGATGTAGTGTAGCAAGTCTAAGTTCCTTATTTTCCTTTGCAGATTCATTGAGATTTACGTCTGCATTATCAGTCGCCTTGGCTGTTGTATTCCTGGTTGTGACTGTGGGAATTACCATATTCAAGCTAATGAATGGAACCATTCTTATGCCCAGATTGTTTCCTGATGTGTATGATATAACATCATTCCTTAAGCTCTTTACAGTGGTGCCTGTACTCGTTACTGCATATATATGCCACTACAATGGTATGCAATCCAGTATCCCAACTATATTTTTTACATTTGTTGCCATCGTATGCTTCTTTGAAAGAAAAACTATAAAAAAAATTCTGCCAAATTAGAAAAAGGTTAACATGAGGCATTTCTATCATAATATCTTCATTAGTTGCCTCTGGTAAAGCTTAACTTCATGCTTTGCCATAGTCCTCGGAGTTTCTAACAGAAGTATTGCTCAAATGTAAGTGCAGATAGGATTTACTGTATTGAAAGTTCTATTATTGCCAACTTCTGGTTATTTGGTGCATCATTTTAATCCTTGATGATCAAAGGCTCTCGTCAGTGATATTTAATCTTTCAAGTTTAATAAATCCCCTGCATTAATGTGATTTCCCTATTTGTTTTCTTTTAGTCTATCCTAATATTTGTATTTGTCAGTTAATCAAAATACATACATTCTTGAAAAATTAGTATTAACTTAAATAATCCTACTGTGTGCTATTTTGGTCTTAATCTACATTCTTTCAACCAACTAGTCCACTTTATATATTGTCTACGCATCTCTGATTGACTTCAATGTAATATTTTGTCCCACTTTTCTTCCTTGATCGAAATGCTAGTCTGATTGGAAGATTTTATAGCTAAAGGAGAGTTAATTTTTCATCTTACAATTAGAAATGCAACATTAAGAATTGCTCGTTTTCTGAAAGTGAAAATTTTGCAGTTCACTCCATAGAAAATGAACTTGAAGACAGCACACAGATCAGAGCAGTGGTGAAAAGCTCTCTTGCTCTTTGCTCAAGTGTGTATGTGTTGACGAGCCTGTTTGGTTTTCTCCTATTTGGTGATGCAACCCTTGATGACGTGCTTGCCAACTTTGATACCAATCTTGGAATTCCCTTAGGCTCCTTGCTCAATGATGTCGTTCGTGTCAGCTATGCTGCCCACCTAATGCTTGTCTTTCCCATCGTCTTTTATCCATTGAGGCTTAATTTGGATGGTCTTCTCTTTCCTTCTGCAAGGCCTTTGACTTGTGACAATTTGAGATTTGCATTGATCAGCAGTGGGCTCATAGCCATCATCTTTCTGGGTGCAAATTTCATCCCAAGCATCTGGGATGCTTTTCAATTCACTGGGGCAACTGCTGCTGTTTGCATTGGGTTCATATTTCCTGCTTCTGTTACTCTCAGGTAAAAACATTTTTGTTAGATAGTTTATTCCAAGGATGTTAGCTTGTTCTGATATTTTTCTTATCCAAAACCTCGGATCCGAATCTTGCATAGAGATCTTGCTAACTCCTCAGCCAAACTGAAAGATAAAATGGGAACATTAGGATGCTCCATCAGGAGCAAATCTAAGTTCCACATATTGGAGTTAGACATTTAATAGAGTTTGTGGAATGGAAATAGAAGAACAGCTTCATTGTTTCCTTGATGTCCTTGCAAATTTTTATTGTGACATATTTACAGTCATCCTCTGACAGTGTGACTGACAAAAATAGATTAATGTTGTTTACTAGTGCATTTGATGAACTTGTAATTTTAGGTTGTAACATGCTTATTTGTCATCCTGCGATGGAAGCCATTAAGTCTGGAGCTAGTTGTTCCTGCTTAAATGCACCTTTCTCTCCCTTTTGAAATGGTAAATTGAAACTAATAACATATGCATCCAACTTCTGTATTGGAGGGAGTTGGCCCGGAAACAACAGATATCTGCTAAGTTTAGAAAGTTCCTGCTTACATATGTCTTCTTGAGGAGTAAAGAAGTCACGTCTGGAAAAATGTATGCTAGTAGAACAGTCTTTAGTCCTTCATTTTTTCAATCCATTGAGAGAACCAGAATTGGGCAACTTATGTACAGGTTTCTGTGAACATAGAAGCTAAAGAATATAACATGCAAAAAGTGTTTCTGTTTCCTATCCTTTTCTTTTCTCAATGTTGCCTGCCAAGCCCTTGAATTGTGTCTTAAACGAGGCTAAGGAGTTCTTGGTATTGTAATTTTGAGGTTTGCTTTGGTTGGTACTGCTGATGATCAAGTAAGTTCACTTATAATTCAATGTTCAAATATTTTAACTGTCAGAATTTCAAGATCTACTAGGATCACGTGCACTTGCCAATTTACTTTTGCCATAGATCTTCTCCTTCTCCTTCCCAGCATGTATAGTGTCAACCAGTTACTGATATAGTTGCTGTCTTTCATGTTCCAGAGATCGATATGGCATAGCAACAAAGAAGGACAAGATCTTGTGTATATTTATGATCGTCATTGCTGTGTTTTCAAACGTGGTGGCCATTTATAGTGATGCCTATTCCTTGATTAAAAAGAATTCATCACCAAGTGAGTGATTTTCTCATTTCGCCTGCTAGCAATAATTGAGATGGAACCATCAGCTGCACTCCCGGGGAAGATAGACAGGCTGAAAATGGGATCATTTTTTCCTTAAATTTCCCAGTTCGCGATTTAATAAGTTTATATATATATATATATATATATATATAAACTATATATCGCGAACTGGGAAATTTAAGGAAAAAATGATCCCATTTTCAGCCTGTCTATCTTCCCCGGGAGTGCAGCTGATGGTTCCATCTCAATTATTGCTAGCAGGCGAAATGAGAAAATCACTCACTTGGTGATGAATTCTTTTTAATCAAGGAATAGGCATCACTATAAATGGCCACCACGTTTGAAAACACAGCAATGACGATCATAAATATACACAAGATCTTGTCCTTCTTTGTTGCTATGCCATATCGATCTCTGGAACATGAAAGACAGCAACTATATCAGTAACTGGTTGACACTATACATGCTGGGAAGGAGAAGGAGAAGATCTATGGCAAAAGTAAATTGGCAAGTGCACGTGATCCTAGTAGATCTTGAAATTCTGACAGTTAAAATATTTGAACATTGAATTATAAGTGAACTTACTTGATCATCAGCAGTACCAACCAAAGCAAACCTCAAAATTACAATACCAAGAACTTAAAACTTGAGTAGCTTTGCTCAAGATGTATCAAATCCTATCATTCATGTGCTATCAAGTTATCGTTTGTATTACAAAAATGATGTCTGTTTAACGGACTGAGAGAACAGATGGTACGATATGGCTGAGACCTGAGTTGTATAAAAGTATTTGTTGTTTCCTTTTCATGTATTGATATATGAAATGTTGATGGAGTGTTTAGTTATATGTTAGAGGTATGTTGGCTGGTCAGATAAAAATGGTAAATATAATACATTTTGATATGTTTACTAGTGAATAAAGCTTAAAATTGCCTCCAAGGTCTAGCTCAAGTAGCAAAAGGTGGAAGATTTGTGGCTTAGGTCGCAGGTTCAATCCCCACACCATGCAAAGCAAAGCCTGATAGTTAAGTGGAGAAGAGTAGAGGGGCGGACCCATTATCCACCGAGTTTAGAAGGTTGTGATTGGTCCAAAGGGCGGGTCACAGACGGATTTCTCGATTATATAAAAAAAAAAGCTTAAAATTATCCAACATTTTTGGAAAGGTAGAGTAATGAACTAAATTCAAACAAATTTAGATATAAAAACCAAAGTTTAAATTATTTTGTGGTTAAGAAATTTAAAAGATATGTCAGATTTTATGTGGTTATATAATCTATATAATTGAAATTTGACTATTTGAGAACATTAGTTGGTTTGGAGGTGAGTTATACCGTTATTAAATCCTGCATAAGTGAATCATGTTTGGTAGCTAATTAGGAAGTAAATTGTTCACGAATAAAATTAATACTATTGTGTTTAATTTGTTATTTAGAAATCCGCATAATATATGTATAATGAGAGAATTTATGTACTATTTTATACAAATAGAAGATGAAATAACAAATATCTACATAAAATAATAAATAAGTTCCCTAATAACTAATCTCTACATTATTAAATACATGCATAACTCTTACCAACTACCAAACGACTCCTTATATATAAAAATAAAAAAAAATTCTTATACATCCAATAAAATTAACCTACATTAATACATTTAATTTGATAATCTAAAGAATAACATGATATATTTCATGTTAAATTGGATTAATATTGGAAAAATGCTTCTCTTCTCACTTCTCAGTTCTCCCTAGCCTGTTTGTATATACCGTGAGTTTTTTATCAAAATTATCTTTGAACTATACCTCAACTTAAACTACATTCTTAGCAGAAAACATCCTTCTAATATTTAAAGTGAATAATTTTTATCATTCTACTTGAATTTATCAGAAAACAAATCCCACAAAAATCAAGTCATCCCTTCGTATTTATTATTCTGAGATACACCAAAATATTATCGTGAACTTTTTAGATAATTGAATTTAACATTATGCTAATATCTTTTAATTTGACTATTTTTTTTCCATTTATTTTTCATGTGATTTAATATTAAAAATATTATTAGGTGAAATATGTTTCTTCTCAATTGAATATGCTAAAAGCGGCATTTGTTGGAGACTTCCGCTTCTAATAATGTAAAATGAAACTCAAATGCGAGACATAATCAATATTTTGATCACTTCAGTATCAAAAGTATCAAATTGCCCCAAAAATTTATTGATCTAAATACAGTTTGACTTTGAAAAAGGTAAAGATAATTAAGCTCCAGCTTCTTTCCGTTGGTAAATGAGAAAATAGTAGATCATGTATCCTTACACCTTCCAAACATTTTTTGTTTCAGTAAGCAGTGGTGTCTAAAATTTTTAACATTTTTTTTTCAGGAGCTTCTTATAGCAGGTAGTGAAATTATGCAGGAAAACTTTTGTTGATAGTCACATGAACTACTCATATTTTTGTAGGATCCCTTAGTTTTTTGACGATACCTAACAGAAGGATGAAAATTGTTAACTTTCAAATACTTAGAGAATGTTTCTTGTCAAAAAAAAAATATTAAGTATGTAATTTAAATTTATGGTATAGTTAAAGAATATTTTTGGCTAAAAACTCATACCTATGTTAATAAGGGAAAAAAAATTCAAATATGTAATTGAATTACGAAAAATAACTTATTTATATCATTTGTTAGAAGTTTGGGCTATTTATATCATTTTAGTAAGAATCAAATTTTCGAGGGATGAGATAATCAAAGTTTGATGCATATTTGAGTATTTTTCCTACTAATAATAACTCGGAACTTGTCCGTTTGTTCACCGGCGATCATTGATTCTGCGGTGACTGGCTCATTCTCCCTATCTAGAAGGCGGCTCTCCATTTCGTATTTGTCTCTTTCCGGTCCTCGACAAGGTATCTATACTACTTTAAGCTTTCTATCGGTTCTCTCGATTTGTTAAGAGTTTAGTCTTTCAGCAAACGGGGAAGAGTTACCTGGGATCTCGAGTTACCTCAAATTGAATCCATTGAAGATTATTTATTAGCCCTAGTTTTGTGAAATTATTAGTATTTGAATTAGGGATTGCAAATGATTGATAATATCCTTTGGAGTTTAATTATATGTAAATTTTGATATATTTGGTGAAGATTAGAATTGGTTTTGGTCGGGATTTCATATGGTTGTGTTTGGTATAGAGGGCAATATTTTCTGGAAAATGCTTACCTATTTTCTCTTGTTTGGTTGCCATAAAATTTTGGTGAAAATATTTTTTTAGAAAAACTTGTTTTCCTAAAATTGGTGGAAAATGACTTACTCCGGACTAAAAACAGTCTGGGTGTGTTTGGTATGGTGGAAAATGTGAGTGATACTAATTCATCAAGAAATGAAAATGGTAGTTAAGTAAAAGGAGATTTAGAAAGAAACATGTCAGTAGATGGAGATGAGGAAACAGAAGAAACTAATGGAGATGATGTTGTGAAGTTGTTGCAGACTTATACCAGATGAAAAATTGCTTAATAAAGCTAAATTAACTTCTCCGACGAAAGGGGAGGGAAAATCAAAGTCTCGTGCTTGAGGGGTGTTTATTGTTGCTTGTATAAGGACTGTTAGCAATTTTCTCTAGTTAGTAAAATACACTTAAAATAGTCTGTTTTTTGTAATTCACGAAACTAGATATGGGTTCAACAGTTAACCTGTAATCATGTACATAGATTACTGAAAATATCATTGTGAGTTGTGATGATTAGTTGCAGAATCTGATTTAAAGAATATATTACAAGTAATAATTGTATTGATTTTAAATAGGAAAATCCCCTGTATACGAGTGGTATAGCAAAAGTAGAAACTCTACTATTGTATCCTGTCATCTGTACTATCCGGGACCTCATGGTTTCACAAGATATTATTCTCTCTATCTAGTTGGATAAACTAATATTTGTGTTCGACTCTAGTCTCTATGGTGTCCATGCCTGACATAGTAGATTACCAAGCAAGAAAGAGTGAGTGTCAATCCTGTGCTGTAGTTTAAGTTCTTGGGTAAATTGAAAGAAGAGGTGTTAATAACATAGGTTCTTGCCCAGTTTCATGACACAGGTTCTTGTGTTGTTATCACACCCTTTATATCATGAAACAAAAGCCTTTTGTGTACTAAATTTATACATATAGTCTAATTAATCCGTGCTATCTCCTTCTCCATTCTTAAACCCCAAGATACACAAATGTGCCTCTGTGTGGGTTGCCTTCTTTAATCGCTCTTATTCTTGACATACTAGTTTTTGGTATATGTAATAAAAGGTGCAAAAGTTTCCTCCCCTACTTAATTACGTGGTGGAACTAATAAAAAATCCAATAAAAGAGCTATATCATTTTCAAATTCTAAATTGCACAGCTAATTTTCCAGTCTTGACAACTCTTTCTCAATCTGACATCCCAGCTATTGTTTTGCTTGTATTGAGCAATGGTGGCTTCAGGATATGATGCAAAATTTGTACAATGGTAGCAATAATTGTTCTATACATACTAATCTTGATGCGTTAGTATGAACTTTCCCAGTCTACTCTACTTATGCTCTAAATTTTGATTTTTGCAGTAATTTTTCTCAATCTAGATATTTGAATATTTTTGGTCTTGTATCGTTAGCTCTCCAGCAATAATTGAAGGCAGTTAAATGTACCCTTCATAGGGTTGTCTGCAGTTGGCTATTATTATCTTTTCCTTGTTTACCCATTCGGACATAATTGTTTTAAGTCAATCTCCACATTAAAAATTCCATTCTTTCATTTTTCCTGGAATATGAAAAGCTATTTTATTTCTTTTATTTGGTTACAGAACTCCAATACCAAAGTTCATTTCTTCTGTTTTTGGTTGGTTATAATTATAATTTTATATCTACCATCATTAACCAGGTTTTGTCACCCCTCAGGTCTCCTAAACGTGAACTGCTGTGAAAGATGGAGCAGGACCACTTGGCTGAGTCACTCAATGACCTTTTAACAAATGTTTCCACGATGATTAGAGGCGAGCTCCAGGTATAAGAAAGTTTTTGTTTCTGTATTTTTTTTACCAACAGTGCTGCTTTGTATATCGTCAATTCCCTTTTCTTTTCTTTCATTAGGGATGTGAAGAGAGGGGGCTCTCATTTACATGAGTTGATGAACTTCTGTAGATGTTAGTTTTTCTTCGTTCTCGTTTGTTGTCCCAAACCTTCGTGTCTTGCTAAATATGCATCTAGTGTTGCACTTAAATGTAGCAGGATGGACTGAATTTTCAAAGGAAATTAATCATTCTTTACATGTTCCTCACACATGTTTCTCACGGTAATCCTACTGCAACGTTGTCATCCCAATAACCACCGAATAGTTTACCTTAGTAGTCAGCTTAGAAATAATTTGCACAGAAGAAGTGGAAGATTGCTTTTTGATGAGCCTGACAAATGTGTAATTCAGAAATGATCAGTTAATGGTGTAATTCATAGTTGTCGTTCCTACCCTTGGTATATTAGAGACTATTATTGCATAACAAGCTTATGCTGCTTTGTTCATTGTGTCCCAGGAAACTAACAATGTACTTGAACTTGTGGAAAAAATGAATACAAGAGTTGCTGAAGAATATAAAGGCTTTGGAGATGTGGCTTCAGGATTGACTATCTTTGTGGAGCAATTGAAGTGTAAGAGTGGCAGCTTTGACGAGTATGTTCAACAGATTGACACAATTGAACAGCAAGTTACAGAATTTGAAGCTGTAATTTCGATGCTTGATAAGTATGTTTCACTGCTGGAATCCAAAGTGCAATCTGCTTACCAAATTCCTCCACCATGAATCAACATTTTTTCATCTTCTTTTTGTTTCAAATGCAATACCCTAAAATTTGTTCCTGGATTGAATCAAACTTGGTTTTTGTATGTTATCAAACAACACCATACATATAACAAGAAAATGAATTTACCTACCGTTCTATCTCAAAGAGAAGAATATTTGAATGAGTTTAGGTACATATATATTTCCAGTTAGCTTGATTATCTTTTTGCAGTTCATATGAATCTTTTTATTGCCTTCAACTCTTTTTCTCCGATAATGTCTTTACTCTTCTTTTACATTTAGTGTTCTCACTTGTCGTCTGCTGCAATGCTTCGTGATGTTTTAATTTCTGGGTTGGGAGAAGTAAAAATGGAAACGAGATGGATTCACATAAGCTTTCGCCCATGAAACGGCGTGTCCTAAGAAGTAATGAAGGGAAGTGGAACGAAAGAACATATACTGTTAAATGCTTTCTCAAATACTTTTTGTTAACTACAAAACAATTAATCACCACAGCACTCAAAAGATAAGAGGTAACTGGAGAAAGAATTTTCATAAGTGAGGTAACTGGAAAATTTGACACTCTTAAAGCAGTTGAAATTGCATAATACGGCTGATCTCATAATATCAACAAGAAATTGCCACCAGTAGCATCCTTCATTTGTTAAAGCAGTGATCATGCTAATTAGTACAAGGAAACAAAAGATGCAAAACACTCTTAGCCAGCTAATATAATATAACAGATCAATGTTGTTTCTTGTTTTCTTTGGTGGTTCTGGATCCATGTTCTTGCTAAACTTTTCATTCATGTCCATGCTAGCTCTCGTGATATATCTCTTCGATCTGTGTTTTGCTGGTATGCTTTTCACTCTCTTTTCTGTACTTGATCTAGATTTCTCTGTCTGGTATGTGCATGGCTTGCATCTACAATCTGTGCCATCTTGACTTATCAAGGTTCATCTATTTGGTCCATACTTTGAGCATGTCCATTGGTAGAAACTGTCGATTTCTCAATAGCTGATATGAACTTCTTCAGATGTTTTATGTACTCGGGGTACAGCTCTAGATCACAATGGTTACCTCCTTCAACCCACAACGGGTCATATTTTTGCTTACATAGATCAAACAGCTGCTTACCATGGGAACAATCCACAACATCATCTGCGGTGCCCTAGAAATGTCAAGAAAGTCATATGGGGATGTCAGCAGGCAATTGTAGAATCAAGCGCCACCATTGTAGTTCTTGATTCTAAGGAGTCAAAACATCCAAACTACAGGCCTTCAATCTCTACCATTCCCTCTGGTTTTGACTCATTTCCTGAGGATAGCTAGATGATATAGAATAATGTTTTCCTGCTGTTATACCATTCTCTAGCTGGGTAAACGATCAATTGAAAAAAGGGCATAACTTCATGATTAATTACTAAAAAGAAGACTTTTATCAATGAAATCATGCAAGGAAAAGAAAATAAGATGAAGTACATTCCCAGAAAAAAGTGGTTAAGAGTAGGAGCTGACAGGGGAAGACTAGAGGAGGAGAGGCATAAGGGAGTAAATTGAATTGTTACATCCCTCATGAGATTTATCCGGCCTCTAATTAGTTCCCCACAAAACAATCAACCGCGAAATAGAAGTGACTCATCAGTCCCTAACCAAAACTCAGAGAGTAACAAGTGAATCAATTTTGCTAATTTATCGACAGTTACTAGTCCATGACAACAGAAAAAAACACATTTAAGGTAGTATCAAGTATGATATATTTATGATGGGAATATGAATACTCACATGAATAATGAGGACCGGGCATTCAACCAATGGTATCTTGTCAATGTTCTGCATTGGGAAAAGAAAGAAAATAGCTAATTACAAGAAGAAAATAAAGAAAACTAAAATTTGGTCAAATAGAGCTCCACATAACTACCACAAACAGAAGCCTAACCTTAAATATGTCAAACCAGTATGTCCGCTTAACTGGATGCAAGACACGAACTCCAGAGAGTATCGGGCTGTGCAGAACCAGTCCCCTCAATCTTGATAAGCGGGATCCCATATCTACTGTTGGTCCACTACCAACAGACTGTCCATATAATATTATATCCTCCTCTTTCACCCCGTATGTCTCTTCAAGACACTTATATGCAGCTTCTATGTCGGCGTAAGTGTTCTGCTCACTAGGCTACAGAAAAATAAGAATACAGAGTCAAATACTTTCATCTCAAACAACTTAATTTAATCATCTAAAGAAATATTCCATACCTTGCCAGTGGACTGGCCATACCCTGAATAGTCATACCTGCCAGAAAGGAGAGAAAACTCAGAAACATGAAGGTGAGTTAACTTCAAATATGTTCAGCCTTTTTGGCGTCCCTTTTTACTGTTTTTTCAACTGTGGCATTAGGGAGCGGATTTGAAGTCATAGCTTTTATCGCTTCACAGAAGACTTAGCAAACTTTCCTAAACCTCGCAGCTTCTCTTCCTCCAAATTTCATTAAAATATAATCTGGTACTTTGTATAAAGGAGAAAAGGAAGCAATCAAATGGGAAGGAAAAATGAGCATCTATTAGATTTTCAAGATGAGCTCGAAATAATTCGCGAGATGGCATATGTCAAAAGTTAAATGTGTCACTTTGTATAAACCATACAACCAAGACACAACAAAGCTTATGTCTTAACCAAAGAAACATACTTTTTCAACATTAATGCATATCCACCAGGTCAGAATGGAAAGAAAAATTCCGAAACCATTTCAAAGTTTAACAGCAACATCAACTTTGCAGAGAGGGAACAACTATCAATCAGAAAAGTTAGAACATCAGCTATCAACTAGCCTTCTCTTCACATGTAAAGATCACAAACAAAGCGATTAAGAACAGTCGATATCAGATTCGCATCATGGTTGTTGACACATGGTTTTGTGATACAAAAAGGTTTCCTCCAGCAAGCACAAGCTTATCCCTGAGTCCCTAGATGCACCTCATTAGGCTTAAGGTAGCTTAATTCTATTCTAAATTGACAAGCACATACATAATAGAGGCTAATCCAGATTCAGGATTGATTATGTAACATACAGTCACGAACTCGGACTACAGATAGACCCTTGTGGTTCGACCCTTCCCCTGATATCAAAGTGCAGCCACTGCTTTTGAATTCCAGAACCACCTCTACCAGACAGCAAAAATAAAGAACAGGATGTGTCCAATTGACTTTACTATCATAACAATTGAGTTCTAATCCAACACAAAAGTTTTCTCTAACACAACCTAAATTATCAAATATTCTGAATCTCAATATTACAGAGAGAAGAATACCCCATCAAATTGACCCGGAGATGAAGACTGAGTTCTGTAAACAAATCGTACATCTGCCCTAAATCAGCAGCGTTTCCATGTGAGTAAAGCACGGTCAACTTCGCGGCCGGATTCCTCACGTACATAGCAATAATCTCCGTCCCCTTCTTCGTCTCTAGCTTCAAAATGTCAACGTCTTGCCCTTGAACCACCTCTGTCATCTTAATTTTTCCGGTCGATTCTTCCATCACCACCCCATACGACGGCGGATTAGGCGGAAAAAATGCAAACTTTGACGCCATAGACGACGTTACAGCTCCCATCGCTCCCCCCAAATTTGTATATATATAAAAAAAAAATCAATAAATTACCAGAATAGATACATGAAAATCCTGCAAATTTCTTATGCAGATGGTTGTAAGGTTTTCCGGCGAGTGATGATCATGACGGGTTGAGACGAATGGGAGCTGTACGGAGAAACTCAGATTTTTTTATTTTTTTTTATTTGGAGAAAATATTTTTTTTTATTTTTTAATTTGGGTGGTGATTTAGTCTGACACGTGGCAGCTCATAGTAGATTGTAAATTTCCAAGGTCCGTCCAGGGCTTTTTTTGTACAGCCATGTACGTAGAAATAACATGACCATTTTTTTTTGTTAAAAAAAAGCTTAATACATAAATTGGACCCTTAACTTAGCTTTAAATTATAACTTTGACCTTTAACTTTGTCACTGCACAAGTAGGCACTTTAACTATTAAAAACTTAAACAAAAAACACTCGAATTCTACCTGGCAAAATGTGTGAAATACACCCAAATTAGGAACATCAGAGGTAAAATTCGATGACCCCAACAGTAAAAAAAAAAAAAAAAAACATTGAAAAGACTATTAAATCCTTAATCAATTTATATATATATA